AGGTATGTAGAAAAGAAAGGTAGGCTGAATCTGAAAAAGAGTTGGGATGGGGTGAAAATGATCAAAACGTATAAAATTCCCAAATAATAACAATAAAATCTTAACACTGGTGTTGGTGACTGGAGGGATGGCTCAGGGGTAAAGTGCAGCGGACACTTGCTCTTCCACGGGACTCACATGGCAGCTCCTAACTGTCTAACCCCAGCACCACTGGATCCAACACCTTTTCTGGCCTCTGTGGGCACGAGGCACACATGCAGTGTACAGACATACATGTAGACAAAATATTCATGTGTGCAAAATAAATTAATTTAAAAATACTGATAATTAGGGGGCAAGCAAGATGGCTCCACAGGCAAAGGCTCTTGTGGCCAGTCCTGATGACGTAAGTTCAATCCTCAGGAAACACACGGGAGAAGGAGAAAATCGACTCCTGCATACACTCTGACCTCCATACAGATGATGTAGCACCCATCCCCACATAATAAATGGGTTTTTTTTGTCTTGTTTTGAATACTGTCAGAAGTAGTGAAGTGAGATAGAGCAAAACCTGGGTGGAGTGGTTTGAATGTGGCATTGTTTGGGGAGGTGCAGAAGGTGTGGCGGCCTTGCTGGGGACAGGCTTCGAGTAAAAAGCTCTACCCACCTACAGTTTACTTCCTGCTCCATGCCTGTGGTTGAGACCTGAGCTCTCAGCTGCCTGCTCCTGCCACCCCCTGCTGCTTCCTGCAGCGCCTCCCTCCATAAAGGACTCTTATCCCTCTGGAACCTTCCTCTGGAGCGTGCCTTGCTGGCTGTACTTGATCACAGCTACAGACACATGACTCACATGACGGGCACTCTTTCCTTGTCTTCCTGCTGCTGCACCTGCGGGGCCCTGGTCTGGAAAGGCCCAAAGCTACATGGGGCTGCCCTGCTGGGTTATTTTGTGCTTCCTGGGGCTATGGCCAGGAGCAGGTATCTGATCAAAGACATGCGGCCCAACCACGCTCTGAGCAGGTCCGAGGCCTGTATGTAGTTCTGCCGCTAGACTTCTCACTTCTGAACCAGCAATTCCCTACCTTCTCTCCTCTGCTAGTTGTCACCTCCAGAAGGGCTTGCCTGTCCCTTGGAAGGCCGTCCAGGGGGTCATGTGGTTCACCCTTGCTCAGCGAATTCGGGAGGTCCTGGCTCTCTGACAAGGCCAGTATCTGATGGCTCTCATCAAACACCAACTGCAGCAAAGCCTACAGCAGGAAATACACATTGAGAAGAGGGGACACGTCACCCAAACCCGTCATCCACACACAGAACCACCACCACCTCAACTCGTGAACCTAAGTTAAAAAATTATTTTGTTGTTAGGTTGCTTAAACAGAAAACACTAAAAACCTCTCACAAAGAAATAGAACATAGATCAGTTATTCCAATTTCCGTGTGTGTGTGTGTGTGTGTGTGTGTGTGTGTGTGTGTGT